GCAGGCCAAGCAGGCTTTTCTCCCGCGCTGTGGCCTCCCGTCTGTCGCGGGCCTCTGAGACGAGTAACTCCCGTTCCAACCCAGCTAGAGCGGTCTGGAATGACTCTTTCGCCGAACCGTCACGTTCCTACGTTGCGATCATTGCTCGAAGCCTGTCCAAATCTCTGCGCTGTCTCTGGGTACACTCGTCCAGTGGCGTCAGGACTGAATGTGCGCGAAGATTGGCGATGATCGCCTTGACATTACCCACTGTGTTCCTGCTTCGAGCCCGCTTCGCCCGCATTGCTGCAACTGCCGCAGTTTTGTTTGATCGCATAGTCCTCACCATTCGCTCGAGGCTTTCGCAAGCTTCCCCCACGTAGTCGGCTCTAATTGATCCTGGACTCGTGTTGTCGTTCGGCAGTGTCAATATGCCCTTGGCGCCGCCGGCAACCATGTTCCTCAGGGCTTGTGGTGGATCAAAAGCCACCATGACGTGACCCGTAGGTCCTAAACCCAGCTCGCGATCGTGTGCAACGCGAATAGCGTTCAAAACCGTCGACTCTTTCATCTCGGCCGTCTCGGGCAGTACGGCTGGGTCACTCGGCACCGCCACAAAGGCCGCAATGACGCGCCGCCACAGAAGCCAGTCTGTGTTTTGCGGGAGGCCAACTTTAGCGATGACGTGGAACGCGTGCAAGATGACGGCAACACCGCAGTCATTCATGTTGTCTTGTTTCACGCCGAGGCAAGCCGATTCGCTCCAAGACTGGGGCAAGGCCGATTTAGGCCACTTCTCCGTGAGAGTAGAGCCGGCTGCGTCCATGACTGTGGCAAGGCGACCGCGTGTCTCGGACATCAGGTGCTGTGAGTCCCCGGCGTTGTCTGGTAGAGAGTCGTATAACTTTACTGTCGGCTGCGTTACAGCCGAGGCGGTGACGATGGACAGGGTCCAATGCTTGTCGCTGTTGAACGGAACAAGGAAATTAACAGCCTCAGACTGGCCGCTGTCTAAGATGCGTACAAAATTCTTGGCTGAAAGGGCGTTGCCGTTGCCCATCTCTACTGTGGGCACCTCGAGCAGAATGCACGAGCGTGGAAGGAGGTTGCAGAGCCCGACTAGAGCGGCCGACACGACAAAGCCGTTTATCCATGTTCCTGGATGGAGGCAGGCCATACTGTCCATCATTGAGCTTGTCATCTCTTCCAATGCTTCGTCATCTTCCAAGGAGATGGTTATCGGTTGGTGCTTCTTGTTCGGGCTTTCCAGCCCCACGATCTTGGACTGCCACTTGCGCTTGCGGTCGAGGCTCCCGTTTGTGAGAGCTTTTGTTTTCGCATGGAAAGGATGCTGCGGGGCTGGCTCAAATGTGGCATTGATGGGGAGCGGCTGGATTTCAAGCTGGTGCCTGGAAAGGATCACTGTGGACTCGGGCGTAGGAATGTTATGTCCTAGATAGGGCGTCAAAGCGGATGTGTCGGCGTGCATGACCATGTTGGAGGATGAGTCATGAACCGAGGGCGAGGCAGAGGAAGGTCGATAGTTGCCGCCGTGGGGAGACGCAGGAGACTTCATGGAGGGGGGCACTCGAGAGCCGGCGTTGGCGTGAGGGAAAAGGAAGGGGGTCATGAACTGCGACGTGGACGCGACCTGGAGAGGTTAGATCTTGATAGAATCATGATTTACTGACAAGTTACCTTTGCGCACTGCGGGGGCTCTGGGGTAGATGGAGAGGTGAGACCACTGTCTTGGATTGAGTCGTCTTTGCGTGGGGTATCGTCGTCGTGGTGGGCGTTGTCGCTGTTTTGAGTCTTGCTGCGGTCTTCAACGCCAATGTCTTGTCGAATACCATTGTCTGCCTGAATGACGTTGCTCTCTTCAAAAGCATCGTCCTTGTTGTCACCTTTGCCACCATCACCATCTCTGTCTTTCTGATCATTGCTGCTCATGGTTGACCCTTTATCGGCGTCCTCGCAGTGATCGGCTTGGCCAGAACTCTGTAAGGATGAAACGGCAATTGATTCTATCAGCGCCGGCGGCTTAAGGGGCTGACGCCTGGCGGCCGATTGAATAGCAGACGGCTTCACTGGCGGGAACTCCTTAAGTGCCAAGTCAACGTCTTTAAGCACGAGACCCTTGGCTTTCTTGTTCACGCCCGGCATATCTTTGTCGGCGGTTCGACGGTGGTGGGCGTGGCGGCGGAGGGCTGCGTAGGCTTGATCCCAGTCGTCGCAACGATTGGACAACGCGTGAAGGGAGATGAAGAAGCGGCGACCGTGGTGGGCGGCGTCGAGGAGGAAGACACAAGCTTGGTCAGAGATGTTCCAAGTCTTGGAAGCCTTTTTGAGCTTCGGAAGGCTCTGAGGGTCGCGTGGGAGCAGCTGGTCTGGGTTGCAGCTGGAGACGACAGCGTGTAGGGTGTAGGGAGTCAGGTGAGAACGCAGCTCGACTGGGTCAACTTGGTTGGCTATTCGTGTCTCGATGTCGAAGTAGATGCGTGAGGAGGCGTTTTTCTTGGGCTCGGAAGGATAGGATTCGGCGTCGCAATACTCGAAAAGCGGTTGAAGGGCGTCCACGGCGTCCTGGTCCATTGTAGACGGGCAAGACGGAGGCTGGAAGCGGAGAAAAGAGAAAAGAAATAGAGAAGGGAAAAGGCTGTCTGCCACATTAGTTAGGAAAGTGAGAAATGGTAATATACCCGCCAAAAAAACAAAAGAAGAGAAATCGGGAGGCTGACGGCGTGTGTGTCTGTTGTCACAAAGGGGAAATGTTGACCGGAGGAAAGAAGAGTCGTGTGATGGCCGGATTGTGTTAAGTCAGAGTACCCACTTACCGACCAACCATCACCTCTCAATCAACATCACCTCTCAATCAACATCACCTCTCAATCAACATCACCTCTCAATCAACATCACCTCTCAATCAACATCACCTCTCAATCAACATCACCTCTCAATCAACATCACCTCTCAATCAACATCACCTCTCAATCAACACAATACTTGAGTGAAGCGCTAAGGTTAAAATAACACATCTTCTAGTGAGCACAGGGAAACACAGGTTTCCATGAAAAGCAAGCAGAGAGAATAAGTAATTACCTCAGTGCAGAGCTGTAGGTTCCGCCACGACAACTGACAGAGAATAAGAGTAATTTAATCATGTTCCTAAATACAGAGGCCTGGCTATGTAGCTTAATTCAGCTTCTAGATTTTATTGCCGTGCATAAAATGAACCGTTCTGACGCCAAGTCCAACAACCAAAGGCCCAAGAGTGTGTCTATCCAACGCCACGAATGTCAACAATATAGCGTCAAATACAGCTGCTGTAACATAATGGCCCGCCGCGTAAGAAAGCCAGCACTCAAAGTCCAGTAATCTTCATCATCTGTGTTGCGCTTGCTTCTATGCACATTAGTCACTCGTTATTATGCCTTCATCTTTATTACATGAACACTTGGCAAGCGCTCTTAGTTACTGATGATGCTAACGGCCTCACCGGGCAGAAGCCTGTAATCACTGTCGCTCTCTAGCTCCGAACCTGTGCTTTGGTCGTGGTCGCGACGTATCTTCCCAGGGCACTCGTCACTGCAATATACACCAAGCGTACCAACCTACCATCATACCTAAGGTAGCTTATCATGCTCTAATCAGGTCAGCAATTCTATCATCTACCTAGCCACACACACATACACACCAACCAGAGGTGCAAGCGCCACAGCAGGCACCTTCCTACCTTATCACCACCCAACCACACTCGCAAACGGCCTTAGGCCATCCTACGTCAAGGTTAACCTATCACACAACAAGTAAAAACTCTAGTCTACACGTTGCGCGTCTATTGCTATTAAGTTTAGAAACCTGTCTTCTACCTCTGCTTAGCTTTTTTATTTCTATCCTTCTTCTGTATCAACCTAGGTACCTAGCTCAATAGTCCAGTTTCATAAATAACAGCATATATCTCACCAAACCAGCCAGCCAGCAGACTTTCCTCTACTTGACCCTTGACTACATATCAACAGTATCACCACTTGCTAGTAGTTGGGGAGGAGCTAGTGCAGAGGAACTAGTTTAGAGGAGCTAGTGTAGAGGTGTTAGTGTAAAGAAGCTAGTGTGGAGGTGCTAGTGTAAAGGTAGTGTTAATAGAGGTAGTGTCAATTGTCAAAGTGTAGCAATTAGACATATAGGTCAAAGCAAAGCAGCAGTGTTACCGTCATTGATTAAATAGCTTTCCCTACTTAGAAGTAGTAGTTCAGATAATAAATACATTAGTTTAAAGGCTCTAAATCTAAGGCTATAACTATACGCCCCCGCACCAGACTCAGCGTCGTCAGTTATAGAACTTGCAATCGACCTAGCTAGTTAGAAAAGACATAGCTAGGCCCATAGCTCCTTTTACAATCCCAATGCCCCCCTTGCTAAGCCGCTAAACCCGTTAACGCTGCTGCCCACACCCTCCTCAAAGGCCGCGCCCGGTATCGGCCTTGGTGAGACATTAACGAGGGCTATACTGACCACCCTAGCGTAGAAGAAGGCTCACCTCCTCAGTCAGAACCCTAACAGCCCCAAGGGCTTCAAAAAGCACAACCATCGTTACACTAAAGCTGCCACCTTACTGCTGCTTTCATACACCAGACACGTCACCCATCTACTGGTTAGCAGCCTAGCATAGGCCCCCATTCTACAAAAGTACCTTAAAAAATCAAACTACGCCCTCATCCCCGCCCACTACTGTGCGTTCCTGCAGCTAGAGACAGTTAAGACCATCGACCTGTTGCGGAAGAATGATGACCACATCTACTATTTCTTTGGAAATCCTCAACTACCTTCACTACTTCTATTGCCTTCCCAAATTCAGAAACCCAATCCTTGACAGCACCGCAGAGTATCAGATAGAGAATTAGCTGTTCCTAGCTGTCACGTCCTCCTCTTCCTTCAAGCGTAAACAGGCCAGATGTGTAGATATTGCTGGCGGTGTCTTAGGAACGATTCTCGGAGCGCCCAAAAGCCTAGAGGAGGTCATCATGTCGATTAGCAGATTATAGTCATTGGATAGCAGGAACCCTACGGTTCAGCTGAAAACGATCAGCAATTGTCTTCTTACCCAAAAGGAAACCCTTCGCGTGCTAGACCTCAACCTAGAAGAAGGCATCTACGCGATTAAACCAGAAGAGGAAGCCATCACGGAAGACTACGGCCTTGATGAGGAGGGTAAAGACGCTCTTGACAGGGTGGCCGAGGCAACGGTAAAGAAAGATAAGTACTTTCTCCTCGCCAAAGCGGAAGCGGCCGGCCCACTCCTAGTGCACCAGATCCCGGACAAAAGGAAGTACAGCTACACCATCGGTTCATTTTACGACTTCACAGCCCTCACGCATCTTAGCATCAACATCCAGGTACTTATAGGCCCCAACAAAGCCTATAACTCCCTGCATAAGCTGAAAGAGGAGCCGCCTTTTCGGCTTATTAACGCTTTACCCCCCAGCCTAAAGCACTTGTGTCTTTATAGTTACCATAAGGGGAAGAATGCTAATATTAACAGCAATATAGAGGAGCTGCTAGAAAATAAGGCAGAGAAGCTTCCGTAGTTAACAGAGATTAGGGGCGTCAAGGAGACAGCTGCTAGAGAGGGGGCAGGGTTTAGGCGCTATATTTCCACGCCACTTAATCCATGTTTTTTGCTACACTCCGTAATTCCCTGCACACAATCAACAAGCTCGAGCTTGACCTTAACGACGTTTAGGCCACGCTCCTCTAGCACTAGACCAATCACTCGACCAGTTCAGTGTCTTCCAAGATGACGGAAACAACAACGATGACGACGAAGACGACGACTACGTCGGACAAGACGCGCTGCCAGACACATGCTCCATCCTTCGACAACGACCAAGAAGAAGACCCTCACCACGACGTGGATGCGCCATCGGTGACACATACCGTTTACATTTCAGGTTGACGGGTACAGTCATCATCCACTCCCAAGTACGCATGATTCATTGCCGTAACAGTGGCGTGCTCCATCCCGAAGGGGTCACGTTAGGGATGGCGCTAGGCAAGAAAAGTAGAAAACAAGAAATGGATAAAGGCAAAAAAAAAAAAAAAATTGATAAAGTCTGGGCTTCTGGTGGCTTGGCAGTGATCATGTTAGGGCATCAGGGCATTGTGTATGTATGTACTGTTGTGTTGTGGTTGTGTGCAAGGGTGGTTGGGTGGCTGTGGCTGTGATCGTGGTTGTGGCTGTCATCTAGTCTCTTCTAAATGTTGTCTTGCGACTGCGTTCTTGTGCTTGGCTCGACCGGTCTTAACCCTGAACGGCTTGCCGCCATGGAAACCTACGAAGCCGGTGCTTTAGCGACCACTCCCCGTCAAACTTTGTCTACCCAAATACCACATCGACCTCGATCTCGAACCGACTCGTGCGACGTGTCCACCACAGAGGGGTCATAGCCAGTCTTTCCTGCGGTAGCACAGGTCTGATCCTCCTCGTCTCGAGGGCTGGCGGCTTCGGTGTTGGACTCCATGGCTGGCTTGGCGTAGCTACTTAAGTGCCTGGTGCAAGCTGGCTTCCTACTGCCGACGCGTGTTAGTCAAGGAGGTTCGCACGCGGTGAGAGAGAGAGTGCGAGAGAGAGAGAGAGGGTGTGTGTGTGTATGTGTGTGTGCATGTGTGCATGTGTTTGTTGTGACTCCACCTACTGAGCGCAAAGTTGATAGTGTCTGAGGAGTCAGCTGGGGCGGGCCGTGTGTGTGTTGTGTTGTGCTTCTGTGTGTGCCTATGTGCCTTGAGGAAAAGAGACGAAAGAGCAAGCTAAAAGTACCTGCTTAAGTTGCTGATAAGACGGTGAGAGAAGGAGAAGGAAGCGAGTAGAAGAAGATGGAAAGGGGGAGGAGGCTCCTCAGTCTCACAAAGGTCGGCAGGAAGTGCTGATGGAGCAGGTGTTTCCTTCTTCTTCTATTTTACATGTAGGCTGCACGTTGATTTCAATTGCAAACTGCATATGGAAATTGTTTACAACTGTTTACTTCCTTTCTCTCTATAACATACATACAACAACAACTACCTATCAGAGCGGCCATTACTGTTGCTGCTGCCTCTGCTACTACTACTGCTCCTATTTCTGTTTATGTGCTTCTTTGGTTTCTCTCTCTCTCGCTCTCTCTCGCTCTCATACTGTCGACCGCTAAGCCTTTCCCCTCGATCCTACCTGGGCGCTGGCCTGAGGTCCTCCGACTTCTCCAGGACCTCAACTGCTGCCTCAACCACCTTGACGAGGGCCCCAGCCCCAATGTCACCGACATCTCCCCAAGCCTCCGACGCGAGTTCTGGCGCACCGCCTACCTTATCGCTACCGATGCTGCCTATACCGGAGACACTGCCTCCCTCTGCATCTGGTCCCTCTTCCTCTGCGCCCGCATCCCCGGCCTCCATCTCCAGGCCAACCTACTGCCTGTCTTCGACCCGGCCCTGACCTAAGTCTGCTGTGACCTTGTCCTGCTCCAAAGCCTCACCAAGACCGCCAAGAGCCTTGGCCCTGCCTGCTCCCACCCTAATGTCTTCCTTGACTTTGGCTAAGACATCGCTATGTCTGGCTATGCCTTTCAAAACACCTTAAAGATGTTGAGGCGCCGCCCCGCCACCATCCACGAAGAGCTCGTCCGCCGCCTCTACGACGAGGTCCTGCTCCGTCTCTCTCTTTCCCCCGACGACCCCTTGACCCCAACTGCCCCAGGCATCCATTATAGCCCTGGTGCTGTGGGGACTGCTGGCCTGCTGGGTGGTGTTGGAGTTGTTTTCTGGCGGTGAAAGCGGAAGTAGAAGCATGGAGGATTCGGCCGGGACGGTGCAGAAGCAACTGTGCCGGGTACAATGCTTGTTCCGAGAGCGATATTGCAGCTGAGGAAAAGAAGCTGGCTGGTATGGTTTACGACTTTTTGAAGGCCGTCGGCAAGGCGTACCTGATGGGGGAGTGAGCAACTTAGTATGAAGCAGCGTATAGAGGGTGATGATGTATTTTTTTGGTTTTTGCAAGGGTGGTTGATTGGTTAGTTGTACCGATTGGTTGTGGTATGGTGATAGTTCACACGAGGTAGACGGATGCCTTTATCCCCTTACTAGGCAGCCGGATCCAACTCCGACAGACTTACGTCAGCACCAACCCGTATTACTTGGGTAGGAATAAACAATTACACGGCATCCCACGCAATTTTGAACTAGAGCTTTTCAAGTAAAACAGCAGGTATAAAGAAGAGGATTGTGTAGAAACCTAATTGCTGGATCTTCGGTCAAGAGAGAGGCAGAGAGAAAAAGCAACCTATGACCATCCAAATACACGACGGCGCGACACCATTTGCAAAGCTGTTCTACACTAGGACTGGCCCACGAAGGATAATAGCAGAGCTGGTCAATATCAATCTGTCGCTGTTTCGAAATTGAGCCCCTGCGTCACAAAGAACCGCCCAGGGTAGCAGCATACTTGGTGGAATACCGGAGTTTATTATCTGGGATTAGAGCCGGTGGACGTCCTGCCACCCACGACGACTGGACAGTCGTAGTAACGAGACGGCGCCCCAGATTCAGAAGGATTGCACAAACCCATCGAATCCAATGAAACGTTATTAATTGGTCTCGGAACGCTCACCTTGTCTTGCTACATCGTCACCCAGCCTCACGCCGCCCTTCGTGATTACAAACATCTGACCCTTTCTATGCTATCGCAAACAAGACAACTTTGAAGTGATAAATCTACCTGGAGAAATCAATCAAATTGAATACGACGCAGTACCATCTACGAAATGTAACGTGTTAATTAGAAGCCGAGGTCAAGGAGCTGAAAGAGGAGGGTGAATTGGGAATTTTAATGTTGTGCTGTCTGTGATATTAGTATGGGTGTGGGTGGCATGCCATCCTTTTTGTCAACCGGGTGGCTGGTCAGTGTGGGCGGGTAGGTAGCATTTGCTGTCTTGGTTCGTACTTCATCGATACGTACCCGCAACCATGTGGCGGGCTCGTCTTAGGAGTGGCACGTACCAAGAAACCAAGATGAGGAACCAGGATTTTGGTTCGCATTGTCAATGCTCCCGCCAGCGGCTCCTTCTCCTTCTTCTCTTCCGGTGCATCAAATCGGCATTGGTTTCGATTCCCATCAATCCTATCTTGATTTCTCCTACTATTGCGCAACAACCGCGACAAACTAGCAAGCACCCTCCAACTTGGGCGTCTCACCCATCTCATCTCGGACGACAGGGCTCAACGTGCGCCAACACTTAATTGCATGCGCTCTTTCTCCAGCCATCGTCCCACAACATTAACATGGCCATCGACTACAATCCCCCGTGCATCAGGCAAACAATCAACGCCTGGTAATATGCCAAACATGACTGGCTTCCTGTCAGCGCCTCACGCTTGTCTTGTTCCCCGCTGATCAGGCGTCAGAGCTTCTCCCCATGTGCCGGTTTTCAAGTCGTGTGTGTGGTAAGTACGTACCTGTCAGCAACCAGGACGACAGGCGCGGGGCAGCCTTTTGGACCTACAGCTTTGGTCCGCTTACGATGTACGGAGTAATAATACTCTGTACTCTGTACGGGGTGGAAGGAACCCACCCCACAACCCGACCGGAACCCCGTGCCGAACAGTGTGATTCAGATCCCGTCTTGCATGTGGTGACAGCGCACAGAGTACTTGTCGGGGAAAGAAAAATGAAACAAGAACAGATCTTCTGATGAGTGTGGTCTTTCCCGCAGTTCTGGTCCTTACTTTGAAGAGCATAATGTGGTTTGGCTCTGTAGTGCAGGAACGTACACATCTCCGGGAGCAAAATATGCACACATTTCTTGCGGCGAGATGCCCTCCCCACACATACCCATAGGTACCATAATTTAAAGGGGAGCCAACACCGGCCCACCAACGGTGACTTACAGGCAGGCTAGCCGGGTGGGGTCCTTCCTCCCCTTGCACCCCTTCCTTCTGGTTCGCGATCTGGTTCGCGATCTGGTTCGCGATCTGGTTCCTGATGCCATCGCGGACGTCATTGAGGCGGTGCGACTCCATGCTCCTTCCTTCCATCACTCGCTGGCACCTTCAGGTCGTTATTACAGTATCGGCCTACACTACAGAGTAGGCACCCAAATAATACTGGTTTGTCAACTTCCACCGTTGGTCTTTCTTGCTGGCGGCATCGACATGTCGCTCGCCCCTCCTTTTCTTCTACTCCCCCTTCCTCCCATCAACACAAAATCTGTCACTTGTGCGGTGGTGAACGTCGACTCACTCGATCAGTTACGATGTCACGCTCTTTCTTGCACCCATCATCTCCATGTGCATCAGTCACTGATCTATCTATACGGATCAACCAACAAGTCACACGAGCAACGTCATGCAGGATGCAGCAGCCTATGAGTCTCTCATCAACAGCTTCAACTCGCTGGCGCTCCCTAACGCCTTAGCCCAGCGTCAACACAGCGTCATCGCATCCCTTTGGGTCACGATCCGCCACGGCTTTGCCTCGGCGCCTCAAGCGACCACCCAAGGCAATTCTCTTCCCCTTTTTGCCCTGCGCCGAATAAATCTCTCCATCCTTACTATCGCACTCGACGGGCTCCTCGCAAGAGACCTTCAGCAGCTCCAGGAAACCCTTGGCAAGGACATTGCTTGTCGTCAAAAACGCGTCCTCAGGGAATGGGGGATTTCCCGAAGCATCTTTCTCTTCCTCTTTGACGCCACTATCATCAAATGTCGCTTTGCCCTCGAAGCCTTACATAATCTTCACCTCGAGTACCCAGACATGACCATTCTCGACCTGTATCGCCAATTCGAGTCTCAAAACCCTCACGCTCCCAATACTGCGAAAAAGGACAGCCTCAAGAGAACCATTTGCCACTGTACGTGTATTGCCTCCGCCCCAACCTCCCTCCGCCCATACATTTGTGTCTGCTGTTACTGACACTCTTACCCCCCATGTACAGTCTCTCTCAAAGCCTGGCCGAAGAGCCGACTAAGGTCAAAAAGGGCAAAGAAGATTGGAGAAGCGTCGGACATGAGCGATCCAGCGAATACAGCCGAGGCCTCCCGCAACCAAGATCATCCCCACAGCCCAGCTAGCAACACGTCGCGTTCCATCGAAAGAAGCCGCCGCCACCTACCTTGCGCTCATTCCGCAGCCTCAACACCTATTCAGCCAGACTCCATCGCAGCGACCTCTCCCCTTGCGGCCACTCGTGCAGCTTCCCCCCCGCTGGATACTACACCCAACTCGCCTCATCCAGCTGAGTCGCCAATATTTGAGTCCAACCACAACGTGGCAGACCTTCGCGCGGACTCCGACTGGCGCAACGACTCGCATGCCAACCGCGACGACGACTCTCAAGGCGACATTGACGACAACGACGAGAAGCGCGACGACAATACCGACGACAGCTACCAAGGGGGCGATTACGAGGTTGGTTCAGAACCCAAGGCAGTCGCCTCGTCGCCTGACACACGACGCATCCTTCAGGTCGACCAAGACCAAAGCCTCCACCGCGACCGCACTACAGAGTTGGACAGGCCGCTCTCTGGGCGGAGAACCTCCAACGCGACGACACAAGAACAAGCGGTTCTATCGGCTGTTTCCCAACGCAAGCGGTACTCTTCAGGTCTAGGCGGGAACCCACCGAAACGTCCGAGAAAGGAACTGCCCCAGATACATGAGGAGGGTTCATCCTTCATAATAGGTACCCCGGGTTTGTTGCCAAGAGCTGACTTGGACTTGACAACAAGCGACGTGCCAGGAGGTGCGCCATCGCCATCTCTTCTAAATCATCCAGATACCACGCACAGCCTAGTGGCCTCTCCCTCATCACCTACAGGCCAAAAAGGCACGCTGCAGCAAGTAGAAATGGAAGCTCTGGACCTGAACGCCTGGTTGAGCAGCGCGGAAATTTCTCAATGCTTGTCTCTGTTTGCAGTGTCGTCCAGTACAGACTGCTTGTTAATCGAGCACTATGTTGTCAGTGGCCAGAACGATATGAGCCATACAACTCTAGATTCGCTTTTGCACACAAAAAGCTTCCTTGTGCCCCTATTCATAGGTAGCAACCATTGGATGCTGGCGCAAATACACAGAGAGGACGGAGACGGCTTCCAAATTGACCTGTACGACTCATTACCAAGTCTTGACCACACTCGCGAAGCCCAAGGCCAGCTTGAAATATTTCTAAACCGCTACTTTCCAGGAATACCTCATCCTCTCGAGGGCGCATTTGATATTGCCTGCCCAGGGCAAGACAACGGGTCTGACTGCGGTGTCTTCGTCATTGCATTCCAGGCTTATCTCATCGCCAATTGTTCCATGCCATCCAGAATTGACTCAAGACTCTGGAGAGTCATCGCTAGAATCATACAGCAGCTGCAAATCAACCTCTACAATACACCCTTAACGCTAGATCCTGCAGCAAGGGAACGCATGGTTGCCTTCTTCCGCTCGGAATATCTGGACCATGGTCAACTAGCACAGCCGCGACTAGACCCGGACGTACTACCGGCCCCTCAACCTTCCTTTGCCCATGGTCAACCCTTATCCCTAGAGGACGCACAAGCATACGCGACCAGCGTCAGACAGTGGGAACAGGCGGTCGAGGTACGCATTCGCAGAACCGCCAACGAGCGGTTAGGTGTTTGGACCTTTGCATTGCAGCAGGCTTCACGGGTACGGACTGTCTTTATGCGCCTCAATGGCGTTGCCGTGTCGAGGCTAGCGGACGCAACGAGGAAGAGCCAGGTCCAGGGCGAGGCAATCACAAGGTACACAGGTCTCGGCAATAAGAGCGCCAAGCTGCATCATCATGCCGCTCAAGCCCGACTTGAGCTGCGGCGAGCCAACGATCGAATACGCCATCTTCAAGTCTGCGTCAAAGTCTGGCCCATAGTGACGGAACTCTTGGCCGACGCGCTGGTGGTTTTGCAGACTCGGTTGAAGCTTGGTCAGCCTGCTCTGCCTGAGCCCCTCCAACTAGGTTAGCGCCTAGGAAAGGTCTGATGAAGGGAATCTTGGGGGGAGGTGCGTGACGAGGCGTCGGTGAGAAGTGATTTTATTTCTCTGGCATGGGAGCCCTTTAGGCCATGTCACTAAAAACATCTATAAACAGGCGCGTCTGATGTATGGAAAGCTAGGGCGCGGTGGAGGCCTTATATCATTGAAAACATGCTGAATTTTTATCCCTGCTCCTATACGCGTGTACAGGCTTCCCTGCCCGCTCCGTTTCCAGGAGCTTTTTCTTCGCTGGCTAGGTCTAAGAGGCTAGGCTTAGCCAAGATACATGCCGTGTTCTTGCTGTCAGTCCTATGCACGTACAACGAAAAGAACATGTTGATGCGCTTGGCTGGTGACTGGTCTGAACGAAGATGGAGTAGAAATAGACAGGGAGAACAGCAGCAGAAGAAATGGTGTTATGGTGCGTCAAGGTCAAGGTCAAGTTCATTAATCTAGTCTAGAGGTTGATTTAATTTTAGACTTTGGACATCTCTTTGTACACAGCTGCGCGCACCAACTTATATCCAAGCCAAGCATGGCTAAATTTGCCTCACTAGGGGTTTAAAACAAAGCCGTTAGCCTGATACTGCAGTTAACATGTGTCTAGGGTGTCTGACTGCTAGTTACAAGTTCTAGAAGCGTGTACCTAGACTCTAGATTCTTTATTTTAGTTTGTCATTCTGGCTCCTTATTGTAGTTCCTAATCTTGGTTCCCAGTCTTGGTTCCCAAGCTTAGTTTCCCCATAATACAGGTACTAGTACAAGTGCGCTACACTTGACAACAGCGCCTCTATAGCAGTAGCTCCTTGCCACTATTACCAGCAGCAAAACTTAATGCCTCTGCTAAATCTTGCACGTTAGTACTAGCGCAAAATGTCTAGATGCACTAGTGCAAGAGCTATTATCTAATTATTATTTAAATTAGTAAAGCAAGAGGCTATAACCAATAATTAAGTAGCTTAATAGCCTTAGCTACTGTATGGACGTTATAATATCTATAATATATAAAGTTTATAAAAGCTTAGGGTAAAAACTAGGCCTATTATCCTCTAATATATAACTTTATTTAGCCCTAGATCTTAATACTAGCATAGTCACCTAGAAACTAACCTATATAAGATAGTCTAGCCTAATAGTAAATAGCTTCTAGTGACCTAGGTTAACATGACATTTATTGCCTAAAATATCTAAAGTATATACTAAGAAACTTAAGTAGAGAGAAGAAGGGTGTATGACTACTATTGTAAAGAATCAGTAGTGTAAGAAGGGGGATTCTAAACATTATACGTAGTCCCTAACAACAAGGCGTAGTCTAAGGATATTTTAACTACCTAGAAGAAAGGCTAACAGTTATTAAACCTCCTGTAATATAACTAATAAAACTATAGAACTATTTACTAGGTAGAACTATACACAGTATAGGATTAGGTATTTGCTTAGAACCTAGGTTATAGAGATTTTAAGCAACTTATTGATTAAGGATAAGTATATATAAAAAAGCATTTCTTAGCTACCTAAGAATATAGCTAATAGTAATCTTAGTAGGGCCTTTTAACTATTAAGCAGTAAATGCAGCTTAAGTATAATAAGTAGCCTAATTCTTAGGTATTACAGTATAGTAAAATCTTTTAGGCCTATTTATATATATATTAAGGTCTACTTTAGGCTATATACTAAGCTATAGCCCTAAAAGTAGGAATAGTTTATAATAAATAATATAGCTAGACGTAGATATATAGCTATAGATATAGTATAACGCTAGCTTCTCTTTAGTAATATATTAGTATAAAGGCAAACTACTAGCAACATTAATTTACTCTTAATAGGATTTGTTTTGTTAGGAGAGTAGAATTGCCTTAAGCTTTAGATTTATAAAGTGACTATTAGGGTGTAGAATATCTAAGGAGACCTAAGAGACTAATCTAAGATTATATACCTTACTATATAATCCTCCTTAGGGCGTTATCCTCTACATCTACAGCTGACATTAAAACTACATAACATCTTGTTCTTCTTTATTAATACTAGTAGTAATAATATAACTATTCTTTCTCCTTTTATCTAGCTAAAGCCTATAATAACAACAGTAATCCTTTATATTTGCCTTCCTAATCTTTACTATTATTATCATTATTATTATTAATCTATCTATTAGGTACTATTATTATTGTAGGTCCCCCCCTTTTCCCCCCTAGGTACATTTTCTTACTTGAACCTTACTTAGTTAATTTTGCTCTTGCATAAGGAGCCTACCTTTAAACAAGTTTAATAACGTTGCTAAGGCTAGAGCTAAATTCAAGTACTTTGACACTGACCTATCTCTTTCTATTTAATCTTTCCCTTTAAGCCAGCTTTTGTCTAATGCTAGTGCTCCTTATTCATAAGAGCCCTAGTATGCTTAATATACTTAAACTTACTCCTTACACTAAGGTAGTTATTCTATGTAACCCCCCTACTTAGACCTTAGTATTTTCTAATATGTCTTGTTCTAGCCCTTATAAGACACCATGTCTCCCCCTAGGCTCTATATTTAAGGCTTTTATGTTCTACCCCTAGAACATGTGCCCTTAATTAGCTTTATACTATAATTACTAGCATGTACTAGAATATTAATCTTACTCCTGGCCCTACACTGAGAGGTATTAAAAAGAAAGTTTATATAATATAGAATCTAGTAATCTAGTAAAGCCTTTCTTTTTATTACTACTATACTAGCTATATCCTTACTATAGAGCTAAGCTAGTAAGTTATACCCCCTTATGTTTTTTAATAGTAACACACTAGTTTCTATATATCTATTACTAGTAATCCTAACGCTATAGCTATTAGTTAGGCCTTCTAACTAACGTAAGTAGTATAGCTTTAAATTATCTTATATTAGAATAAGGGAATTAATAGGGGGGCATTACAAATTAATACAGGGGCATCGCTCTTACAGGGGCATTGCTTTCTAGCTGCCTAATTAGTTAAAAAAAGTATTATTAGTGTAGTCAAATTCTACTAGACCTATAGAAGGTATCTTGTCCCTTTTAATCCTCCTTACTAGTGTAAAAGGCTAATTTAGTCTTAGTTTTATCTATACTATTTACTTACTATAGCTTTATAATATATTCTATAGTATAAAATATAACCTACTTATCTTTTTACCTTAGGTTTTATCTTAAGAGAGTAACTAGTAATTAATTATAACCTACTACTATTATCTAGCTACCTACTATTATCTTCCTCCTCTAAAAGTAGCTATCCTAGCGTTAGCTAGTTCTATAGAGCTAGTAATCCTAAGGGGCAGTATAACCTTCTAGCTAAGCTTTTATTAAGCTTACTATAAGATATATAACCTCTTTTATACTATAAACTATATTACCTTAGTATAAAGCTAATACTTTACTTTACTTACTATTTCCCTAAGGGGATAATAAAAACTTAGTAGACTATTCTTTTTTAACTTTCTCTAGAGTATAGCCTTTTTCTCCTTTATAAGTAGTCTTAGTAACCTTCTTATTTTACTATATAGTAGTTTAATAGTACTTTTAACCTTGTTTACTAGGTTATTAGGACTAATTAATAGCTAATAATAGTACTTTTCTAATAATAAAAGTATATTTATTAATAGTAAAAATAATAAAGTTCTTAAGCTAATCTACTACCTTATTTATTACCTTAATAATAATTACCCTCTTAAAGTAAAGTGTCTTTTTAAACTATAGCCTTCTACTATACCTTATATAACTAATCCTCTTCTCCTCTTATATTAACTATCTTAAACCTACTAATACTTAGTAATCTAGAATAAACCTTTAATACTTTCTTTAATTAAGTTAATACCTTTATAAAAGCTAATAAATTTAGTATTATAAAGAGGAACTAGTATAAAGCTTAAGGCTAAATTATATACTATACCTTCTAATATAACTAATTTAGGAGCCCTAGACTACTAAGGGGTAATAGTATTTAATAGTATATATCTTAGAAATATAGTTATTAATAGTAAATTATTATAGAGGCCTAAGAGAAAGGCAAATAGCTATTATATTATTATTTAGTAACCTAGTATAGTTAGTATAACTATAGCCTAAGCCTTAAAGCATTTATATATCTTTTTTATTATAAGGCTACTTAGCCTATAATAGACACTATTAATATAATAAGCTAATAAGTTAGTATCTAGGTATATAATATATATACTATTATTTAAGAGTAGTTCCTAGATTCCTTATTTACTTAGTAAGATATTTATAACACTAAAGCTTATATAAACTAAGAGAAGTTAAATAAGTATTTACTAACTATAGCTTTAATTAAGCTATTTAATAAGTAAGATATCCTATATATAGTAAAGTAGGCAAAGGATAAGCTAGACTACCTTATTAGCCTTATCTAGACCTTTTTTTACTGTCTTTAAATATAGAAATAATTCCCTAAAGTAATTAGTTTTAATAACACTTATAATACTAATTATTTTAAACTTCTACTTTTCTAGGCTACTAGATAAACCTACCTTAGGTCTATTTATAATACTATATTTAGCCTTATTAATAATAAAAGGCTAAAAGGTTTTTAGTTTTTTTTAGTTAGTATTTACTAACTTATAGACTAACACTTAGTCTATTACCTTACTATTATTATTATAGACTATAATAAATAAATAAAGGCTATACTAAATAAGTAGTTCTTTAGTGCTTAGTAATAACTCTATATTTACTATATTAACTTTAATATTATACTTAAGACTAAGTAAAAGTAGCTTAAGGACTACACCTATAGTAGTAATAGTAGTAGGTTTAATAATAAGGCCTACTAGCTACTAATATAAGTAATAGCCTAGCTTAATAATAAAGACTAGGCCTATATTACTATACTAGTAGATAAGCCTCCCCCTTATATATATTATAAGGTCTTAATAATATAAAAGCTTATTATTTTTACTAAGACTAAGTATACCTTTAAAAAGGCTTAGACTAAGCTTTATAAAGAGTTTATTAACTAACGCCTAATCCTCTAGTACCTTTATATAATATACTTACCCTTAAGGGTATAGTAGGCTTACTACTTTATCTAAAAATACTAGAACTTTAGTATTTATATTACCTTTAGTATAGAATTAAGTAATAATAATATTAAAGGCTATCTTTTAAATAGTCTTAGTTACTTATATTAACTTATTAATATTATATAAAATATAAATAATAACTAAAGGCTATACTTTAAGTAAGTATATATAAAGAATAAAATCCTTTAAGGCTAAGAGTATATAGGTCTTTACCTTAAGCTTTTTAGTAAACTTTATATACTATTTTTCTTAAAGTGTCTAGTGTTAATTAAAAAGTAATACTAGCTAGTAAAAAAGGTAATACCTTTTAGTAAAAGACTATTCCTAGACCTTATTAGAGAATATAGTCTAGACTATACTGTTTTAACTAAGCTTAGTATCTTATACTACTATAAGATCTTTACTAAGATACTTAATTTAGTAGCTTTTAGTAAGTAAAAAGTATACCCCTAGTAGTATTTTTAAGAGACATCTTCTTTTAATCTATACTACTAGATCCTTAATCCTAAGATTATAGTATCCCTTTATAGTAGGCTAAAGAATATAGTATAGCTTATTTTATTATAACTATTTTTACTAGAAGAAGGCTACTTAACTAGCTAAACCTATACCTTTAGTAAAAGCTAAAGTATAAGTAGTAAAAAGTAAAGTTATTTACCTAAAAGTAAAAATAATAAGTTAACACTAGCTAGGTTTTTATAAGAAGAAAGTTAACTAAGTTAAAGCTAAATTTTAACCTTATTTTAGTAATAAATAAAAAGCTAGTCTAGTGTTCTTAGTAAAGAAAAAATAATAGGTAGTTATATAAGTAAATAGCTACTTTAGCCTAGTATATAGAGGATATAAAGTTAGTAAAAAATAGTTAGTAGTAATAATAAATCCTTATAGCTATATTATAAGAAAGTAGCTAAGTAGTAAGTATTTTAAATATAAAAAAGGTTACTTTTCTTAAGGTAAATAGGAAGTAGGCCTAGTAAGAGGGCTAACCTTTATAGCTATAGGAAGTAGGCTTAATAGGGGGGCTTTTTTTATAGCTATAGGAAGTAGGCCTAGCAAAAGGGGTAACCTTTATAGCTATAGGAAGTAGGCTTAATAGGGGGGCTCTTTTTACAGCTATAAAGCAGGCTTAATAAGGGGGCTCTTTTTACGGCCGTAAAGATAGCGCTTCTTGTAGAGGCTATTTCCTACAGCTGTAAAAAGAACCCCCCTTATAGAGCCTATTTCCTATAGCTATGTAGGTTAATTAGTTAATAGTAGAATAGAACAGTAGAATAGCCGTGTTAGTGCAATTGCCCTCACCGCCTTTATAGGGATATACTGTTTTTTTTAACTAATTAGGCAGCTAGAAAGTGACGCCCCCGTAAGAGCGACGCCCCTGTATCAATTTGCGACGCCCCCCTATCAATTCCCTAGAATAAATATCTTTTTTTGCCTTAGTTAGCTAATTTATTATATTGCCTATTAGTAATAACATCCTTGTGATTACCCTTGCTAAATAAGGCTTCTATAATAAGCCTACTAGTATATGTCTTTGGCTATAACATCTAAAGCTTTTAGATTAAGAGTTCCCTTTCTATTATATATTTACCTTTAGGCATAAATAATATGTATTTCTAAGTGCCTAGGGCTAGTTTTAGTCTTGTTAACGGTATGCCAGCAGAGGTCATAGTTATAGTTAGTAGGACCCCTGTTGTAAACTTGAGTCTTATACTCTAGACGTTTTAGCTAATAATAATAATATATAAGGATTCATAGTAACTACTAATTCTGTACCTAAAGTGTAGGTCTTATCTACCTTATAGAGTCTGCTTCTATCTACTGAGAAATCGTCTTCCACCTCCCCAAAGTACGCCAGAAGATATCAACCTTGACTGTAATCCAGATGACCCTGTCCTAATGAAGCCAAGGGCATTTCTATTAATATTCAAGCCTAGGCGTCTAATGAGTACCGCAAGTTCTAGACCTAACCTACCTAATTCTTTAAACTTGGATACGTGGAAAAATGGCTTTCCCCCTAGCGCTAGGTACTATGGCCCTGGTCGCTTACTTGAGATGATTAATAGCAAATAATCTATACATGGTTATGTTGCCTTGACCGCTGAACAACAATTCTGTCAATTAGCATAACAGAGCAATAACACACAATCAGCCCTAAACACAAGCTGCCTCCTTGAACACACATCTCAATTTCTAGAAGTCAAAACAGCATAATATAGATGACCTCTTAGCAATAACGCTATAATTTCGCCGTTTATTACCCCTGTATACATAAGCCTAAGACATAGTACCTCTGTCTTAAGATACAGTACCTTTGTCTTTACACACAACAGACACCATGAGGACTCCAAGCCCACGTGACGAGGCTCTAAGTCCGTGCAACAAGGCCTCAAGTCTATCGCAATATTTCTGATCATACTTTGACCCTAATAGTCTAAAGTGAGCTAATATCAAGTTGAGATAGACAGAAAGCTGGGTGTTACTGACTGTAGGAGCGCCTCTCTAGGATCAAAAGCTAATAAAGGTAACAATAACTAAGATAAAGATAATAGTGCCTACTTTGTAAGTATTGCACAAGTAAACTAGGACAATAAAGGTAATAATAAAGCTACTTAGGCAGTGTAAACGCATAGGGAACTATAAACACGCCTGCTTATTAACTATTAGTAATACTTAGCTAAACAACAAAAAAAATAATGCTGTAGACAACAGGACCTTAGCCACTATGTCTTATAAAGTTTCTGTCTTAGAGGACTACCTAGACTGTCTAGTAAACCTTTACATAAAGTCTTACTTCTAGGCAACGTCTATATATATAGTGCTTAGTTTAACTATTTATTATAGGTTAATATAACTATTATCTTTAAGTTGAAAATTATTAGATAAAAGGGTACTTTCCCCTTTCTCCTTTCTTAACTACTAAAATAAACTAATAAGTTAAATTCTGACTTAAACACCTTATAGATGGATGGCCCTGAAATCTTAATTATGAAACATAGTGATGGCGCCTGGGAGCCTAAATCCCCTGTGGCTCTAATACTGACCCTAACACAAATTCTGCTGTAGTATCTGTTATAAGACCGTAGTAGGCATTATAAGAACTCTTTTACCTACATACAGCTGTCTATAGAAACAGGAGAACTATAAAAAGGTATATATTTTAGTAATAACTAAATTTGTTCTTAACTATACAACGCGTGAATAAAATGTTATATAGGACCAGATAAGAATTAGATGGCCTATTAAGTCGTAGAAGGTCTAGAACCTATGTCCATCTTCTCCTATTTCATCTTGTTTCTGTGCCTTGAGTGGTTTCTATGTGCCATATGTCAAAATCGTCATTTCACCTGGCTGCTGACTAGTGCGCTAAAATACCTTGCCCTAGCGCCTTTAGGGGTAGGGCGGACGTGTGGCAGCTGACGTTGGTATTGAGCATAGCAGAGGTCAGAGTAGGCAGGGCAAACAATCACCGGTTTCTGGACTATTTATTGTTAGCAGATTTGAGTTTAAACCTGTTAATAATAACAATAATGCTAATAGCACCTCCTATTGCGTTTTTCACTGTGGTAAAATGCTTATGAACTGTATTTGTATACTTGCTATCCTTATAGACCCTTGGCGCAGTGATGCTTTTAAACCTAAAGCTCAAGAGAAGAATCTAGGCCAAAGATGGTTAATAAACAAAGTAAACAAAGAACTATTGAGAGTTTTAAGAGATAGTATAATTAAGGCAACTATAGCTAGATAGAAGTGAACTACTAGGTGGACCTTAGTATGGCACTTGATTGGTCTAGAGTCGATGATGGCTATATTCTAATACTGCTAAGTCTCTCTTGTAGTGAGGAAGTGCTGAAAGCTACATATCATTGTGATCCTTCCTTGCCTATCGCGATCTATCCATCCTTGTGTTTGGCGGTGCTTATTTGACTGAGAGATATGTATACCTTTAGCAGATGACGGTCTTTGTCTGCTAAACTATGGCATATTGTTCAGCATCTGCATATTATCATAAACCTATTCCCCTGCCAGAGAGACTCCTCCTGCACTGCCAGAGACCCACGATGTGATGAGTGCATTCTGTCACAGTCGAAAACTTGTCGTGCCCAACCTGCCAGCTGATAAAGCTCTAAGTACCCTTCCTGTTTGTCCCTGTGCAACAATAGCTAGACTATGCATGCGTAATACTAGGACCACGGCAGCAGTGGCTAAGCCGCCTAGGACAAGTTCCGTGACAATGCCGGCCGTCTAGATAACCTGTAGAGTGATTCTTAACTATTTTGTTGCGTACTGGGGATTGAAACAGCCTTATCTGTGGATTAAAAAGGTGTGTATGCCTTAAGGCTGATTGATAGCCGTGAGGCAAAATGTGGAGAGGGTGGTAGGGATAAGTACAGGTACGTTTCACGAGCAAGTTCAGGCAGGCAGCATTCTGCCTACCACTAAACTGCCAAAGCTGCCCATTAAAGCTTCTCACCAAAGCTGGGCGCGCTTCTCTAGGCATTATGATCAATGTCAGCGTAGGAAAGCAAGTTCTTGGCCAGCAAGCACTTTCTCACTGACCTCTGGGGGGGACAATGTTCAATAGGTCAGTAGGCCCAGGAACGTATAGTGGTGATCATAAGAGGTTAGTCTACGGTTGGCGTTATGGGCGCTATCAAGGTCTACATGACATGTACAACAACGTGTTAGGATAGATAGACTCTCACGTTAACGCCCCGCATCTCGTCCAGTCAGAATAGGAGGCTCCTACGCCCCAGTGACTACCTACTCAGGCATACTTGTGGAAACGTACAAGCGACTTGCTAGTGAAAATGTAGAAAGCTACGCAGGATATATTAATCTGGCTGGAAAGGGACAGGTGGATAGCTAGAAGGCTTGTGGAGCAAGCGTAGAAGATAGATGTAATACTATCTTAATAGTATAGTGTTGTGGTCTATGCCCCTCCCGGTTCTTTTTTAGGGGTATTGACGCCCTGGTATTCTCTCTTAGAGCAGACATCTAGAACCCTGTGTAGTCTCTTAGTGAATAGTTTCCTACTACGACTTGTTTGGGAGAGAGCCCTGACCAGGCTTTGCTACCTTAGTGGCTATTAACAATGTTCTGGAGCCCAGCTAGAGCGAGGAGTCGTTAAGGGCGTAGTCTAGGATCCAGAGCTTCTCCCTATACCTAATCAGATAAACTCTAGCTAGACTCCCTGCTATTCTGGTTACTAGAGGCTGTAGTAGAAGACATTGTACTGCATTAGGCTAACACACCTATGTGCGCCTACTAAGCTCCCTATTGGGTAGATATAAAGGCTAAGTTAGAGATGTCCTAGACAAAAGCGTGTAGTAGGCAGAATACAGAGTATTAATGAGGTACCTTGACGCTTAGGCTTTAGGCATTTCTACTGAAAATACACACTAGGCTATAGCGCTGCGGTAGGAGAGGGTCTACGCCACGTTAACCAAGAACCTATTCTCTGGTTAATTACTGTGTTAAGGGTGATATATCTCTGTAATACTTGTCTTTTTTTTGTTGTAGACTGACCTCTTTAGCTGCAGAGAAAGTTAGCAGCACAAGAGAGGCATCTTATTCACTGTCTTTGCCATGGGCAGAGTTGCTGCCGCCATCTGCTCTACTGCTTGTTAATCTGTACCGTTGGTAACACTGTGCCTATTTGTGTTATTGGTTTGGTTTCTAGCATGAAAGGAGTGACTATTAATAGATTAAGACGCTTGCCGTCGTCAACAAGACTGGCGGCGGCGGCCCACCCCTGGAGATGGCGTATGCGTAAGTGATTAGAAGTATCATCGTCCACTGTGACATGACTTGATAAGCATTGGATCCTCTGTAGCCAAAAGAGCTGATAAAGACGTAACGGGAACACAGACGCTGGCTTCTAGCCAGCTCATGGGATAGGCCAGGAAATAGACGTCAGACATAATAGTCTAGATGGTGGGTTTAAATTGTTTAAAGTTGGCAGTAGAGGTAATGTCCAAGGGATCCCAACAGACGTTCCGCTGCCGTGAGCCTTGACGTAGGCGTGTTGTCAAGGCTCAATATCAAACCCATTGCAATACACGGCACTTACTTCAGACAGCCTTAGCAAATTTTATCACTATTCCAGTAATTAGTATATAAATGTAAATAACTGTGGAGACCTTGCGCTATTTAAAATCTCACTGGGCTTATCTCTTGGATTGGGACTAACATTTCACAGAGTTGAGATTGGCAGATATCTTAGGCAAGTTCTGTATACGCAAGACTGTGAGACTACAAGACGTTTTGTAGACTCAAGATGTGTACACTTGCGACAGAACCTACGTGTTGGCTTGCGTCTAGACTGCATGCATCTTGCACTCGACACCCTGCGCCGTATGGGTGGGCGGCAGCGCATGGGGTCCTCCCAAACCCTGCGCAGAGTCATTTGGCCTTTCAAAGATGGTGTTGCTCTTCAGCCAAACGAGATTGTCCTTCCTTGGGCTAGGCCTGCTTCTGATAAGCAAAACATCTCGGCTAATGGAAACACGGTCTCAATCTTGGGTATATCATTCATGCGGAAGCCCACCAACACCCGCCGCACCCTTCTCGACTGGCTTGTTTTTGCCTAGGTCGACGCCGATGATAAATAGAAGTGCCTATGATTTCTATTACCACGACCTTGCGTTTGGGTTTCATACCGTCTATAAAGATGCCCTGACGGTTGAAGCTGGTATACCATCATTGTCTCAAGGTCTTGCGCTATGGTTGGTTGGCTTCCTTTGACTTGGGGTGGGTTTTTGACTGTCTTTGCTGGACAGGGAGGTTGGTGGGGGGGCACTTGGTGTTAAGGCCTGATGCAGTTGGGCGCCTTGGTAACTAACCTCCTTCTACATAGTAGGTCCAGAGCAGATATCTAACATAATCTATTCGACTGGTTCCTAGGTATTACACCGCCAGATCCCTCCTAACTCAGATCGGTTAGCCTGGGATAAGACCAATCTGGAGGAGAAGACCATCGCTCGCCAGGGGTGTTAGCACATGAGCCAAGATTGTCTTCTTCATGTTCCCAGTCACAGTCAGCAATAGAGAGAAAGGTTTACCAAGTCACTATCCAAGCTGCTTCTTTAATCACTGCAAGTTTCTAATGATTCCCTAGCCAGACAAGCCTATACATATCGTGAGCCTTAGCATTGGTTTGATTCCCCCTACCGCCAGCCACTACAGTACTTCGAACCTCTACGCTAGGCATAAGGAAGTGTCACAAAGGTGATTTAAGCCACAATTACAGTATAGCAACTATGGTATCACTTTTAAGCCACAAAGGCCTTATTCTATTCGTCACAGGGAAGGATATACACCCAGATCAACAGATAATAACACTACCTCTTAACATATCCCGGGCCACAATTTCATGTTCCTCTATCCCGCCATCGTTCCAAGTACCGTTCAATTCGATCTCAAACGTAAATATTTCAGCACTCAATCTATTTTCTATGATATAGTTACCTCTATTGACACCTACTTTCAGTCACACCCAAGGACAAGGAGACAATGGGCAGCCCATCCCAAGTATAAGCTAAATGTAGAGAGTATCAAGAGCCACCAAGATAACAATAACGTCCATCCCTCTACACAAAAGGGCGTTGCCTATAAGTACAAAGATGGCGTCCGCGGCGTTAGGCCACCCCCTTTTTGAAACTTTTCTGTTCTCTTAAATCCAGAGACATTCTACAAGGACATTTTTAATAACAGCTATAGCAACCACTTTTTTTATAGCCGACACAAGACCGAATCACATCCATAGACTGGGAATAGGCAAAAAGTACTCCATCCTATATGCGGTGAACAGCCTATAAGAAGCTGCTACAAGCTTGCTAAACCTGGCTCCACGAGCCTTAGTGCCAATGCTCCCATGTACAGCAGCATCTGCTCTGCTGCTTTGGGATTGGAAGTAGTAGCTGTGCGGGTAACCTACATCAAGGGCCTTCTTAGACGGTTAGAGTAAGGAGATCAGGCTGCTTCATTCGCATCAAGTTCAGAAATCACACTTTGCACTGCTTTTACAGATGACTTATATATAAATAGCTTGTAACTATTAAGAATCCCTTGCTTGATGCTAAGCAATTGAATTATGTAATGACGCGGACGTCAAGCCTAGCTAGTTTTGGCTTTCCCTGACGCCTGTCTCCTGATTAAGTGACGCGAGACTAGAGGTAGTGTATACAAATATCTGCCTTCCTCTAGAATCAGACACCTTTCTGTGATTCCTAACTTACGCGATCTGAAGGTATAGGCTAACTGTGTCTTGACTCTTTTGGGCCTGGACAATGCGTGTTGAGAACACTAAATAGACTGTAAGTACCATATATACGTCAATATGATGCAGTCTTTTGACGCCATCTAGCCAACCCAGCTACACCCACGCGGTCAGGTTGCTTTGCCTAGCATCCCATTATCCCCGGTACTGATCTCCTCGGCACTCCCTCTTGGCTAATTTATACTCTTGCTCTGCTGCTGACCTATTGGCTATGGCCCTCGGCCATCTCTCTTCTCCAGGTTGCTTCAAACAATTAGTACAAACTTGGTGAGACCGTGAGGTAACCAGTCACCATAATCGCGTTCCCTAGGCACACAATAGTGATGCTGACACTGCTAATAAATAAACTAATGCCTTTTATTTACCTAGCTAAAACATAGTCTGAATTACTAACCCTAACGAAACGACTCCGTAGAAGCCAAGGTGATGGAAATGACGGCAACAGATAGGCAACCACCACTACCCCCTTTCACTTCCTCGATCCTCCGTCCCACGCCAGGGACCATGTGGAATCATGCCAGTCTTACTGTAAAAGACCTAGAATAATTTAGCTTTAACATATTGCCTAAGGTATTAATACTAAGCTTATAATAAATAGGCCCTTAATACTTATAAAAGCTGGGAAGTAAGAGGTGGCAGCAACTACTTTAAAACGGGTTCTATTCTTTCTTTAATGCAAGCTATAACTTCATTATCCACAACGCAACTACCGTCTTCGACGAACACGAAAATCCTCAGCTTCTCTGCACTCAGCCATGTCTCGCTCAAGACTAGTCCAAGAAAACTTGTCTGTAGTAGGCTCGCATTTCCTGGGGGTCCAGGGGCGGCTCGGGCACTCCCGGCATAAGTGCCGATGTTAGCATGTCAGCGTTCCGAAGGACATGAAGTCCGCAATCAAAACCGTTTGGCTGCCGAGGGCACTGCATCATATGGCGTGTGGTTAGTCAACGCTTAGGCTATACCTATGGGCAGATAGATAGCCTACCTCTTTGGAGATGGGTTCTGGGATCTCCTCGTTTGGGAAAGCGACCTTGACTAGATTTACTACCGATGTGATGGCGGCAGCTTCGTAGGTGCCTCCCCTCAGGGAGTCGTACAGGTAGAGCTGCTTGTTTTCCCGCTCCCACAGGAAGAGCACCCAGTGTGACTCGAGGGGGTTTGCTACAAGCAACACTTTGGGCTTATTGAAATAATCCCTCGCGAGATCTCTGGCGTCCCAG